GGCACAGTCATGCCTCACCGCAGCCTCGACCTCTGGGCTCAGCTCAGGCAATCCTCCCGCCTCTGCCTGCTGAGTAGCTGGGACTAGATGCATGTGTCGCCACACAGTGATAACTTTTTTGTGTGTCTAGAGACAAGGTCTCGCTATGTTGCCCAGGCTGGTCTCGAGCCTCAGCCTCCCAAAGCACTGAGATTAGAGGAGTGTGCCAGCCATGAGTCCAGCTCAGCGGTAAATATTTAACCAGCTAGCAGAGGGGAGAGGTCCTGTGTGCAGTGTTTGCCAATTCCTGTGGTGTAAATAGCCCCACGGTGGCTGATTTCAAGCTATCCACGTGAAATCGACCAGCTTGCAAAATCCCTGAGTATTTGAGCATCGGCTCTTGTGCCGGGCCTGAGCTGGCTCGAACCCGTGGCCATCAGCAGCCTCCTGCCACCGGGAACAGGAGAGGGCAACTCTGGCCACCGGGGCAGGGGTGTGGCCACTGGTCACCGCTGTACCCCCCAACCCCCAGCGCAGACTCTGAAACGAGTTATTTAGTAACCCGGAACCTAAAACATCCCTCGTCCTGGTGGGGTAGGGGGTGGCTGGGCTGTTGGGGGAACTGAGTTTTAGCCAGGACCTGCCCAAGCGGAGGGAGAAGTGTGCCCCGCCCCCAGGGCCAAGAGGGCCCGCTCACCTGTAGTAGGGGTCCACAATAGAAAGGTGGAAGACGTAGATGCCATTTCTCTGGCCGAAAATGACCTCGTTCTGTGTCCGGCCGCCCAGGATCTCATACCGAGCCTGTGGCCACCTCAGGGGGGCATTGTTGTCGGGGTCGTGACAGCTCACATAGTTCTGGGGAGGGGGACAGAGGCGTGCCCAATGGGCCTGGGGACTAGCAGGGGCCTGGGCCCTGGCTCCCTCTCCACTGGGGGGGAGTCTGGGGGGGGATGGCCTCAGCCTCCGACCCCCCCACCTCCCTCCTGGGTTACAGAGGCAGCAGGTACTGCTGACGGCCCTGTTGATGGCAGGTCAGCATGTCCACTTTCCAGAATCATGTGCGTAAGTCCTGACACCAGGACCTCAGACTATAACCTCATTTGGAAATAGTGTCCTTTTTTTAGAGAGAAGTCTCACTCCGTCGCCGCCCAAGCTGAAGTGCAGTGGAGCCATAGCTCACTGCAGCTGCGATCTCCT